CCCACACAGACACAGGGAAACATGCAAACTCCACACAGCAAGGACCCTGGTCGCCCGGGGAATCAAACCCAGGACCTTCTTGCTGTGAGGCCACTGCGCCACCGTGTCAGCCCTAATATTTAATTTTGAAAATAAATAAACAAAAAGAAAGTAAAATAAATGAAGAAATGTTAGATGTACCCAGAATCATAGATGACTGATAATGACTGAAAGCTGTGGAACATCGAAAATGAAATTTTAATAAAATCAATAAGCAGAATGTATTTGGGTATATAAGTGGAAAGAGAAATTACTTGAAAAGATATTTACAGTATATCATTTAACTTCTCAATGTTCCCAACAAAAAACTTTAATTATATAAAACATCTTTTAAAGTACTTTCTGGAAGCTTATCTTATTTCAGTCTAGAAAAAATGCGTTAAATTTAGTAATGAATTGAAAGATAACAAGCAAGTAAAGACTGAAGCAACATGCAACATAAGTAAATATGCAAATGTTTTTCCTTTAAAGTTTTGAAGGTGGGGGTAAACGTGCAGGCGGTCTTTTACAGATGGACGTGTCTGTACTGTACACAGTTTTAATGACCAGCTGAGCAAAACTTTGGTCCAGTTACTTTGTGATTAATGTGAGAGCAGCAAATGTTCTGAAGGAGGTTTATATGTGCACTTTGATCAGACCAAGACATCAGACTAATGGACTTTCCCTCCAGCCATCTCTGGCATGAAAGAGCGTTATTTTGCTGAAAAATCTCTTCTGATTGATCATCTTGTGGAAACAAAATTTCTCAGTAGAAGGAAACAAGCCCTTCTGTGAAAATGTTTTGGTACTCTGTGGCAATGATAGACAGTCAACCGTTCTTCTAGAAACAGTCCTGTTTGATTGTATGTGTGAACACGTTCTCTACAGAAGACACACTTCTGCACATTTAAATGCAATATTTATTGGCTAAATTTAACATATTGAGGAAAAATAAAACATAAAATGTGGCCTGTGCAAATGTTATGGCACATTTTTAGTATTATTATTGTTAGACTGTCTGGGCTGCTTAATTTTTTAAAGTTATTTAGTTATATACTTGAAATAATACATTGATAGCCCATAAAACACAGATTCTTGTTCTGTTAACTTACTATTCAAAATGCAATTAATTCAAAATTTAAGGCAGAAGAAACACTAACTTTTAAAAGTTAAAAACAATGTTTTAAAGCTTTTTCACAAAGTTTTTTAGACTGTCTGTCCATAGCTGACCACTAATCAGCTGAATCAATTTCTGTCCAGATCACACTGACCTAAAGAGCCCACATCATGGAAAACTTTCTCATGTTTATGAAATTACAGAGTTTGATGCAGTATGTAAACACTATTGAAGTTTGAAAATGCACTGTACCCAGTCTGTACTGTCCATATATGGTAACTAAACTGCCCGTTTTTAATTCCTTGTTTTGGTGGCGTCATGAAAGCCAACACATTTACATACATCCATCTATTCAGCTTATAACAGTTTAGCCCCACCCAAGTTTCTTAAGTACATCAATGAGACACTGACCAAAGTAAAAGGAACAGTAGGTGCCAAAACCTACAGTTTAATAAATAAATAATATCAGGTCCAATAACATTTTAAAGGATCCATATTGGAGAAAACCAAATATAATTTTTTTCATTTTTTGAACGAGATGTATGTTAACATTGTTAAAGTTTCTAACTGTACTGTTAACTCCCCAGTCCATACAGTCCATGTCCAACGTTTTGTCATATATGTGGTATATACATATATATAAATATATATATATATATATATATATATATATATTTACATATCTTCAGGTTATATATATATATATATTCCATGTACAGAAACTTAGCTGCAAAACAGCTTATTGTTTTTGTGACATCATAGATAAGTTATAAAGAGTGTTCCTAGTTCAGACTGCTCTTTGAAAGAGAGAGCAGCCAATCAGAACGGAGCTCATTTACGTACATCAGTCTTAAAGGCACAATGACCTATTTAATTCTTGGGGATAAAGAGATGTTGGAAAGCAGTCGTGTAAAAATGAAACGTGACTGTTTTTGGCACATAAAATGGCACAAATACGCAGGTAAATAATAAAATACAAGAGAATTGTAGAATATGAGCCCTTTAATAGTGTTCGACATGAACGCACTGCACTGTAAGCCTGGATAAGCTGAATTTACTTTGAAGATTTGAGGAAACCGGTTGCCTTAAAAAAATAAGTAATGTGTAATGAAAACTTGAGTTAGAATAACTATAATTTTTGAGTTAGGCTAACATTAACATACATTTGCTCAACTCGTAAGGTCTAATTATTTTAATTTAACGTCTTGAAATTGCAATTTAACTCTATGTTTCATTAGGCAATTGAGAATTTTTTTCTATTTAAGTTATATTAACCACTTTGCCAGACACCAAAGGGTTAACCTTTACTGTGAACACGGTCACTGACCAACACGAAAGCCCACTCATCAGCAAAGAGAATGATAACCTTCACTCTTAGCCAACAACACAACGTCAGGGAGCTGAGTAAAGCATATATAAAAGGCAGCCTGGGTGGAACGAAAGCACACTGAAAGTGAGTAAAACAAAGGGAAAGAAACTCTCAGTATGCAAATAGATGGAGCCAGGAGCCAATGGGTAATAAATATACGTTTAATCTAATACAATCGTGTTAACAAAACAAACATGTAACTATTTCACAGCTCACTTAGCTTCACTCAGTTTCACACATTTGTTCAGCAACTTTAATGAGAAAGAAACAATTAAAACCAACAGAAATGTCGTCATTTTTTAATATGGGGTTTCAAAGTTGCCATAGCAACAGACTAAACTAAATAGCAAAAAGTTAATTCAACTCAAAAATGTCATTTGGGTGTACAAAATTATCAGAAACGTTCCCTTAACTTAAAATTGTTGAGCAATGTGTGGGATATACTGAGTTTAATGTACAACTGACTTAATTTATCTGAGTTAAAACTAAATTTACAGTGTGTGTGGACTGTAGGCTGCTTTTTACTCTAAAACTCCCGAACTGTGTTTCATTTAAAAATGCACTCATTCGGTCATCCATTTTTAATTCTTTGTTTCCTTCTTTCTTTATAGCTCAGCGTCCTCCTCATCTCGAATAATGCGCAGATCTCGTGGTAAAACACCCTTGAACTCATTAAAGTTATGTATATCTTTAAGATGAGGGAGAAATATGGACCTGTTCGCGGCCCCTAGCTCAGACTAATTGAGCACGAAAGACGTTCAATACAGCTAAAGCAGCTGCTGTATCGATCACGCGTCCATCCGGAGGATTGGTTTAATTGATCGCGCGTTACTCTCTCGGGAATCTGCGTGTGTTAAGCTATGCGTTCAAAGCCTTTCACGAAATTAACGTTTAAACATTAATGATCCAGCAGTGAACCAACAGCCCGTGCATAAGCCTAGAACAGTGCTCTCCTCCTGGACATCCAAATTCCTGCACAGTCCAGTCCTTCTGTTGTATCTGATCCATCTCCCCAGAAGACCCTGATCAGCAGTCAGATCTAAGACTAATCTCTGTTCTGCAGACAACAGCGTGGAGACCCGACAGCGGCAGGTTCCCATCATTTGAACTCCAGTATTGGTTTCCACTGCTGAGCGAGGAACTTCAGCACCACGGGAGCTGTCCACCACAGACGCGCTGGTTAGTTTCCCCACCCGTATTCCGCCCAAACCCCGCCCCATCGCTCTGATTGGCTGGCTGTATTCCGCCTCTACACGATTGGCCAGTAGCTCGCGCTCACAAGCGCAGTAAGGCGAGGCTTGCCGGAAAACGGGTGGAAAAAAGCAAAAGCAACGTCTAACAGCCGCAACGCGAGACATCACAGCCAACCTCGATACAGCGACAACTCGGAGCCCACCTGACTGCTTCTCTCCCTCTGAACCGCTTACGAGCTCAGCAGCTTTCAGGCTTTCGCAGGAGTCACTTATTTAGATAAGTTATCTCAATAAGACAGAAACTGGGCATCTTTTATAGCCTGTAAGGTCAAAATGACTTTTAATTTGTGTGGTTGAACTACAGGTTTTGTGAGACTGGACTAAAGAAGAAGCAGACCTACCTGAAAACTTAAGAAGATCTAAGCTTTGTAAGACTGAGCAATAGAAGAAGTGGACCTGGCTTAGAGTTTAAAAAGATCTGAGGTTTGTATGACTGGACTACAGAGGACATGGACCTGGCTTAGAGTTTAAAAAGATCTGAGGTTTGTATGACTGGACTACAGAGGACATGGATCTATCTAAAAATTGAGAAGACCTAAGATTTGTAAGACCTGGCAAACATTAAGAAGACTAAAGGCTTGTAAGACCGGACTACAGAAGAATTGGACCTACCCGAAAAAATTGAGAAGACCCGAAGATTTTAAGACTGGTCAACAGAAGAAGTGGACCTAGCTGAAAAACGAATGAGGTCTAAGGTCACAAGAACTAAGGTCATAACACAGAAACTGGGTCTCATTTAAAGCCTGTAAGGTCAAAATGACTATTAAATTGCAGGATTTATAAGACTGGACCACAAAAGAAGCTGACCTACCTGAAAACTTAAGAAGATCAAAGATTTGTACAACTGGACTGCAGACAAAGTGGACCTAGCTTAAAGACTAAGAAGATCTGATGTTTGTAAGACTGGACTACAGAAAAGGTGGACCTACCTAAAAATGAAGAAATCCTAAGATTTGTAAGACTGGATTAAAGAAAAAGTGGACATACCGGACAAACATTAAGAAGTCTTGCAAGACTGGACTACAGAAGAATTGGACCTACCTGAAAAATTACGAAGACCTGGAGATTTTCAGACTGGTCAACAGAAGAAGTGGAGCAACCTAACAAACAAAACTGAGAAGTCCTAAGACTTGTAAGACTGGACGACAGAAAAAAAAATTTAGAAGACCTAAGATTCGTAAAACAGAACTGTAGAAGAATCTGTTTTATCTGAAAAATTAAGTTCTGGACTGCGTCTTCAACAATGGAGAATTTCACATCTCCCAACAACACTCTTGGTCCTTGGACTGACCGCAGTACCGCATACAAGGTGATCAGTGCTTTCCTGGTTCTCGCCATTTGCGCTCTAGGAATCATTGGCAACGTGATGGTGGTCCTGGTGGTCCTCACCACCAAGCACATGCGCACACCCACCAACTGCTACCTGGTAAGCTTAGCCGCCGCCGACCTCATGGTGCTGGTGACCGCCGGCCTGCCCAGTGTAGCGGACAGCCTCTACGGCTCATGGCTTTTTGGCCACGCCGGCTGCCTGTGCATCACCTACTTCCAGTACCTGGGCATCAATGCGTCCTCCTGCTCCATTGCAGCCTTCACCGTGGAGAGGTACATCGCCATATGCCACCCAATCCGCGCCCAGTCCCTGTGCACATACACTCGGGCCAAGAGGATCATCCTGGGCGTGTGGCTGACCACCTCGCTCTACTGCGTCATGTGGTTTTACCTGGCTGACACGGAGGAGCTGGTGTACGAGGACGCGATCGTGGTGGCCTGCGCCTACAAAGTGTCCCGGAACCTTTACTTGCCCATTTACTTTTTCGATTTTGGTGTCTTCTTCGTCCTGCCCCTTGTGCTGTCCACTGTGCTGTACGGGTTCATCGCCAGGATTCTCTTTCTGAACCCTCTGCCCAAAGGGAAAAGCAAGAATGGACACGATGGCCTTTCTGCTGGGAGCAAGATGAACGGCCTCAAAAGTTCAAGCCAGTGCTCAAGTACAACAGCAGCATCCCGAAGGCAGGTGAGGCACATTAGTGAGGTCTAAATGTCCAGTTTTCTGATTACTTTAACAACCTCAAATGGCCAGGGGCCACCGGCAAGACTAAAGTTTTATTACACACTTCTATAACTGAAGAATTGCTCAACCAGTTTGCATTGAAGTCTGTGTAGTTACCAAATAATAAGCCTTAGAATGTAATAAGACTAGGATTGTAAGGGGTTAAAGATCTTTAGTGCACTGCTGACAACAGTAACATAATAATAATAATAATAATAATAATAATAATAATAATAATAGTCAATGCCATGACACGCATTAGATGCATCCAAGTCCATTATTTCACTCTTAAATAATTAAAAAAAATAATTTAATAAATACACAACATATGCCACATTTTTGACAATACCTCCTTTATACACACACATTTTATTGCATCAAAATAAAATTCCTTTTGGGAGGCTTTCTTTTTGAAAGTCCAACAATGTCAGGTGATGTGACTATCCAAACACACATGCAGATTGAGTAAACAATTTAAAAAGGTCCAAATAAAACAGTTTGAGATTATTTTATTTTTGAAACCTTCATAGCAGGTTGCAAAACAAGTTTTTAAAACTATTAAATTCACTAAAAAACTTGATTTCCACAAATGTCTCACAGCACAACTGAAAACAAAAGACTTTTATTCTAACAGGCTTTTAAGAAACAGTAGGCAGCATATTGTATCATATGACAGACCCCAATTAACCTTCATGGTGCAATGCCAAGGACACTATTCAAGACTTGAGTCATTGTTTAGTTTTCAGTTCTAAAAACTCATTTCAGGCCTCAAATCATTAAAAAAATGACATTTTCACTCATTTTTGATATCTTCTGTAAACATTGTTGAAGTTAAAAATGTACTGTTTGCATCCCAGTCTATACAGTCCACATATGGAAAACTGCAAAAACAACCTCTTTTGATGTCATTGTTTTTGTGATTTCACAAAAACGAACACATTGGCAATAACTCATCTATTCAGTCTGCAGCAGTTTAACCCCGCCCACTCGCACTGAAGCTAAAAGAAGTGTTTCAGCCTGGACTGCTTTTTGAATGAGGCACAATACAGGACAGCCAATCAGAGTAGAGATCATTTACATACGTCTTAAAGGTCTTAAAGGTCTTAAAGGTAACAAAACAGCCTGTTTTATTCTAAGGGATAAAGAAAGGTCGAAAAATAGTCCTGTTAGAATGAATTATGACTGTTCTTAGTACAAAAACTCTCACAAACTTAACATAAGTGGTAGGATGTAGTATATGGGCCCCTCGGGGGCCAGTCACACCAGTACAAAGTATCCTGGGAGCCCCCTTATATAGTGGTATCTACAGAGAACACACTTTAATGCACAGGTACTGTTTATTTGCTGAATTTTATTTATTGCGGAAAATGTGGCCTGTGCAAAAGTAATGGCGCATTTAATATTTTATGGGTTTTTTTCTATTATGTCAAACAAAATAAACAGTGATTATGCATTAAAATTTGCTGGAAGATTTCATATTTAGGTTTGTTCTCTGTAGAAACATGATTTGTCCAATGGAATTCAAACTTTTGCATATGATTGTAGATACTGACACAGTTGCACACTGATGAAGTTTTCAGGACAGTTTTTAGGACAGACCCTTTAAAACTTGCAACATCAATTATTGGGTTTATTCACCATTTTTAATGTTAGAATCTTATTTGTCTAATGAGTACTAGTTGGTGAAGTGACACTTTTTGAGCATTTTTTGAGACAAAAACAAAAATCGTTTTTATTAATTAAAAGTCATTTTTGAACTGGGAGTCCATTACATTTTTTTGGCAATGGTGCTCCTATGGCCTTGATGGGAACTGAAGCTTTTTAGGCTCTATTCTTCTCTGTTTGGACCTCATTGATCTGAAATAAAATGCTAAATCTTGAAAATGAGAACAGTGAACAACGACAAAGCGATACCGCTATGAAACCAACAGCCCAGATTGAAATCAGGTATTAGGACGTAAATATGAACGACTAAATGAAAGTGAAACCACTTTTCCCACCCTTCTCCAGGTGACCAAGATGCTGGCAGTGGTGGTCATCCTCTTCGCAGTGCTGTGGATGCCCTACCGCACCCTGGTGGTGGTCAACTCTTTCCTCCAGGAGGCCTACCTGGACGCCTGGTTCCTGCTCTTCTGCCGCACCTGCGTCTACCTGAACAGCGCTGTGAACCCCGTCATCTACAACGCCATGTCTCAGAAGTTCCGCGCCGCCTTCCGAAGGCTCTGCAGCTGCGGTCCACGGGCTCAGGCCAAGCAGGCAGCCTACAGCGTGGCGCTCACCTACAGTGTTGCTAAGGAGACGTCTATGATCGAGAGCACAGAGCACTTCTCAACGGAGATGGACGATCTGACAGAAGGACCAGATGATCTAACAGAAGAGCCCATGGCTAACTAGGAGAGCTGGGGCTGAGCTGCCGTCAATGAGGTCTCATTTAGACACAGCAGAGTCTCATTTAGTCATATGCTTACCAAGAGACTCAATAACATTGGTTCTCAGCACACAGCAGACTATATATAGGCTGTACATTGTTTTAGCTTATCTCCTGGAACCTACCACAAAAATCTTTACAGGCCCACTGTAATCCTTGAAAAATCCATGCAGATTATAGGTCGATTTTCAGTTCCTCTCAGAATAAACCGTGGTGTGGGGGTGCGCTTGCTATTTTTACACACTGCAGGTTCTGCCAGTTCCAATCTGCCAGTCAATTAGCAGATAATAATACATGTAGCTACAATTTTTACTACAAGAAAGGAATGAGAACCACTGAGCAGTGTTGCACCTCAAAGTGAGAAGCATCCTGCATTTGTCAAACGTCAGGGAAGTGAAAAAATGTTTATTCCATCCTTCTTTTAATTCAATAGGCCTCAATAACATGCAATTCAGTGGAGACTGCATAAGAATGATGATGGTAAGGATGCAAAAATACCTATCCCTTTAATATGAGGGATATATTATATCCATGTATATACAGTACCATTGAAAAGCATTTTATGTACAGTACTGTGCCAAAGTCAGAGACCATCCTTCATTCATTATATATACACCGATCAGGCATAACATCATGACCACCTCCTTGTTTCTGTGCTCATTGTCCATTTTATCAGCTCCACTTACTATATAGGTGCACTTTGTAGTTCTACAGTTACAGACTGTAGTCCATCTGTTTCTCTGCATACTTTGTTAGCCCCCTTTTACCCTGTTCTTCAGTGGTCAGGACCCCCATGGACCCTCACAGAGCAGGTTAGTGTGTGTTGTGCTGGTCTGAGTGGATCAGACACAGCAGTGCTGCTGGAGTTTTTAAACACCTCAGTGTCACTGCTGGACTGAGAATAGTCCACCAGCCAAAAATATCCAGCCAACAGCGTCCTGTGGGCAGCGTCCTATGACCACTGATGAAGGACCAGAGGATGACCAACACAAACTGTGCAGCAGCAGATGAGCTATCGTCTCTGACTTTACATCTACAAGGTGGACTGACAAGAGAGGAGTGTCTAATAGAGTGGACAGTGAGTGGACACAGTGTTTAAAAACTCCAGCAGCATTGCTGTGTCTGATCAACTCGTACCAGCACAACACACACTAACACACCACCACGACATCAGTGCTGAGAATGACCCACCACCCAAATAGTACCTGCTCTGTAAGGGTCCATGGGGGTCCTGACCACTGAAGAACAGGGTAAAAGGGGGCTAACAAAGTATGCTTAGAAACAGATGGACTACAGTCTGTAACTGTAGAACTACAAAGTGACCCTATATAGTAAGTGGAGCTGATAAAATGGACAATGAGCGTAGAAACAGGGAGGTGGTCATAATGTTATGCCTGATCGGTGTATATCTGGTACTAAATAGCCATTGCATGGAAATTAAGTAAAGTAAGGCTGGTCTCTGACTTCTGCAAAGAGCTGTACACTATATAATCTCATTCTGAATCATATCTCAGAAGTGGGCCTGTGTATACAAATCTGAAATGAAGATGTTGTTCTGCTGGGTTCCTAAGGGAAATGTAAGATGAATATCGATGTCTAGACAGTGTTTTCAGGCCCTGCTATGCTGATTAATGAGCTTTCCTTCTTCTCCCTGGAGGAAGAACGAGGAAGAACTGCTGATGCTCTGATAGTTCTACTGTCTTAGCCGATCGGTAAACAATGCACTTACTCCAAGTTTGCTGATGCCTACACTCTTAACGATAAAGGAGCCACAAAGTGTTCTTTCCCTAAAAACTTTTTTTATAAAAACATTTGACTTTTGCTTGAGAACCTTTTCAAGATTTTCATAATCTAAAGGTTCACTACCAATTTAAGGGCTCTTCTTTGAACACTTACATTATGTGGAGGTTCTGTAAACTTTAAAAAGGTTCTTTACCCTTGCACATCTCCTTTACCAAAATGGTTCTCCAAAAGAACAATCCATTGAGGGTCTTTAATGAACTAAAAGTGGTTCTTCTTCTACAGTATTGTGCAATGTGTTCTTTTTGCTAGCTTTCTAAATGGCTCTTGGCTTAAATGTATGGCTCTCTTAAATATCATTGAAGAACTGTTTTTGGTTCCCTAGAGAACCATGTTGGAAAAAGAGATTTTTGTGATGAACCTTTTATAAGTTTTATACCAATTTAAGGGTTCTATTAAGAAAGTTCTCTGACATTTTTGCAAACATTCATTTACAAAGACGGTTCTCTACAGAAGCATCCATTGAAAGTTTTTCTTAGGGAATCAAAAGTGGTTCTTTTATAACATTAAGCAAAAGACCCTTGTGGCACCCTTAAGGTATAGATCGTTTCAATTATTTCATTTATTCAACAATATATGGGGGTTCTTTAAAGTTTAAAAAGGTTCTTCACACTCACTTGGTAGTCGTGGGCTGGAGGTGAGGGAACCAGCTTTGTCACCGCAAGGTCATTGGTTCAATCCCCTTGGCCAACAGTACGTGACTGCAGTGCCTTTGAGCAAGGCATCTAACCCCCAACTGCTCCCCGGGCACCGTGGATAGGGCTGCCCACTGCTCTGGGCAAGTGTGCTCACTTCCCCCTAGTGTGTGTTCACTAGTGTCTATGTATGTGGGTCTTTCACTGCATGGATAGGTTAAATGCGGAGGTCTAATTACTCTGTGTGCAAACACAGTTGGCGAATGGTTCTGAATTCAATCAAATTCATATCACACATCTTATTTTTTTTATTCTAAAGAAACATTGGTAACACTTTCTATGAATGTCACGTTTGTAAGCATCTATAAGCACATTTATAACATGTTATAATGTATTCATAAGGCATTATAAACATGGTTATAAATATTTATAAAAAAGAATTACACTGAATTACACTTTATAGCCATGTTTATTATACATTATGAATTGTTAATATAATGCATTATAAATAGTGTTAATAACATGTTATAATGTCAGTGCCAAAGAAGTCAGTCCCAGCTTGGAGAGCGTAAAGTAAAGACAAATACCAAGCTAACGGTGGTGTACATTACCTTTCCCACACTGGGTAAAACACTGATGGCAGCTCTAGTTTAAACTCTGACATTTGAAGCCTGTAATGTGCTTTACTGTGTATGTTTTAGTGTTTCAGTAAATCCTTCAGTAAATACTTCAAATTGAAGCCTCACTCTGAACACTGGAGGAGGCTTTAGTACAGTACGCTTCACTTTACTTAGAGCGGACAAATACAACTTAGAGCTCTTATATTTTGTTATGATCAGTACTTATAATACATTATGTTAACAATTTATAATGCATAATAAACATTGCTATAACGTATAGTGCATTTTTATAAATATTTATAGCTATGTTTATAATGTCTTATGAATGCATTATAACATGTTATGAACGTGTTTATAGATGCTTACAAAGGTGACATTCATAGAAAGTGTTACTGAAACATCCTTCAACTAGTTCTTCTATGGCGTCACTCCCATGAGCCCTTTTTTGGCACCTTTATTTTTAAGGGTGTCCATAACTATTGCGTACCTGTGAATGGTCAGGTCAGTGGTTCTGATCCTTTAATGCATTTGAGTCAATTGAGTCTTCACATCTGCAAAATGCAGACAGTCTTGTGATACAGAACACAGCAGCTCATCTGAGGAAACATCAGACTTTAACAGGCGACATCATTTCATTAATGACTAAGACCAGCTTAAACGATTCCCAACTGTCTGTTCACTGCAGCCATTCAGTTATATTAAACAATCACCATCGTAAGAGAAGATAATGAGAACTCACAATGGGCCTACCCTATTAACAATAAAGATGCCAAACAGGGCTCTTTGTGCAATGCCATAGAACAGGGGTGCACAACTCTGGTCCTGGAGGGCCGGTGTCCAGCACAGCTTCAACACACCTGATTACATTTATCTATTGATTTGCAGGTTTAGTGGGTGTGTTTGAGTGGGGAACCCTCCAAACTGTGCTGGACACCGGCCCTCCAGGACTGGAGTTGTGCACCCCTGCCACAGAAGAACAACTTTAGGTTCTGTAAAAAGCCTTTTTAATGGATGCTTCATTAGAGAACTCTTTTTTGTGAATTAAACGTGTGAGAGGGAGGAACTTTCTTAAAGGAGCAATATGTAAAATGACGGAACCTGTCAAATTCATACTCCAAACAAACAGGGGGCAGCATATCACCAGAAAGCTGTGGTGTCCACCCCGTCATTAGAAGCAAGGAAATGCACAATCCCTCCTCTAACTTAGCAAACATTAACACTTTCAGTAACTTCAAACAATTAGCTACTTTTAAAAGCTATCGCTAAATAGTTGTAACATTAACAGCTGTTTACTTACCAGTCTAGAAGAAACATTGCAAGTTCAGCATCAAACTTCATCCCTTTACTCGCCAAGAGCCCCAGTGGTGAAAACCAAGGCCAATGTTAGCTCTTGTTTGGCTTCTAAAGCAGGCAGCAGTGGTCATACATGTTGCTTGCCATGAGCCTCAGCCAGTGTTCTGTTTATTGTTCCTTTCATTGGCTACCTGTCCTTAATGGTTCAATAATAATACTATAATAAGTTACTTTGATTGACAAGAGGTTGGAATCTGCCCTCAGGGCAGCGCTGCTTCTTCATCCTCTCATATTGGACTGAAAGCGGGCTCAATGCTACAGTGACTCACTATCACCACTTTAGGTACAAAGTGGTATTACAAGACAGGCCGGACCAGGGCTAGTTGGTTAGCATGCTAACTTAAGTAGATATCTCTGCAACACAATACAGAGATGTCTTTGACATAAAGGCAAACTGTTTTTTCTCTACATTCTGTTAATAATTTTAATTTTGGAATGTATGAAGTAAAAATGTTACAAATTGCACATTTCAAGTGTATCGTGAAGAACCCTAAATGCCTAAATAGAACCTTTACAGCATTTACAAATATGGTTCTTTAGGGAAAAAAGAGGTGCTTC